TGTGGGTGGGTGTGGGTGTGGGTGTGGGTGTGGGTGTGGGTGTGGGGTGTGGGTGTGTGGGTGTGGGTGTGGGTGGGTGTGGGTGGGTGTGGGTGTGGGTGGGTGTGGGTGCGTGGGTGTGGGTGTGGGTGTGGGTGTGGGTGTGGGGTGTGTGGGTGTGGATGTGAGAGTGGCTGTGGGTGTGTGTGTGGGAGTGGGTGTGAGGTGAGTAGGTGTGGGTGTGGGTGAGTGTGGGTGTGAGGTGTGGGCTTTTTCTTCATTCACCTGCACCCATCGTCACACCCACACCCACACCCTGAATTCCATCCACTGGTATCACAACTCGAAAATGAGCTGCAAAGCAGACTGAAATTCGCTAAAAGTATAAGAAAAAAATAGTTCATATGAACTATCTGCCGAAGAAAACTACAAGGAAGTTGATTCTCTGCAAGATTTCGGCAGAAAAAATATTCTTGACAGCATATAGCTATTTTCCCAGAAACAGAAATAATATGACTTAATTATTCGAATTTTAGCACTAATCACTGAATATAAGTGAATTAGAAGAGAAAGGATGGAGAAATTCATCGAATTGCATTTTAATTATATATGAATTGCGCAAAAGTAAAAGTCTTTTTGCGTAGAAAAATGCAGAAATATCGTAGAAAAAAATTGTCAGAAAGGATCCGAATTTAGGGAGGGAAAATCCCCCCATTCCTCCTCCCCTAATCGGCAAGCCTGGTCGACAGAAACCCCTTTCGCCAAAGCATAAAAAGTAATTCGAGGAACTACGTGATCATTTTAATATGTCCTCCTTCGACAACATTAGGGTAAACTACAAAATTAGTGATTTGATTATCAATGGAAGATTTTAATTCAAGACAACGTTCTATATAGGAGATATCGATTATTCCATCTTCTAAATTTTTTCAATATTGTGAAGTTGAAATATTCTATTGAAAAAAAATTTTCTAATACTGATGAATTTTATCATTGGATATACAAAAAAGAGTAAAAGAAATCTTCAAATCTTATAGAGTGATAAATGGGTATCATATTTCATAAAAATGTAAAATCTTATATACCTGCAATGAACAATAATAGGTGATGGTGAATTAATGGATTCTTGGTCATAATGATCAATAATTTCATTTAAATCAATTAAAGTTCGACAGTCGATAGAACCAGATCTTGGCCAATTGGTAAAAAAGAAATGAATGACATTATATTGTTCTCTATCCTTAATAAAATAAATCATTTTTTTTGTTTTCTATTAAAAACCGAATATTTTTTCTTACTTTTTGAATAAGTAAACGACGAATTTCAAGTTGATTATTAAGATAATATTCAATATTAATAACTTTGACTTTAATTTGATTAAAATCTAATGTTTCACGTTTATTCTTTGGAATATACGGATAACATGAAAACTTTTATTAATAAAAAAAAATCAATCATAAATATTTTTTCATAGGACACAATGACTAAGGATATTATTCAACAAGGTTTTAGAGTCTGATAGAGTCTAAATCTACTTTTGAATCTTTTAAAGAAAAATAATTTCAAAAATTTCTATAGAACTATTGCCTTTCATCTATACAATCAAATTTGTGTCTTCTAAGATGACAGAAAATAAGAGATTTCTTTTCTGAAAAGTTGCTTATCTTTTTTATTTTCTTCTATAACATAAAGCCAAGAATGCTTTATATTGATTTATATGAAATATTTTCCTCTTGGGTTCGAATTTCATTTTTTTTCTGAATTTTATATCAACAAGATTTGTCACTTGATTTATGGTTCAAAATATTGACTTATTGTAATATTACTCTCATGTAATACAAAATATGTTTCATCGTCTAAAAAAAGATTACAGTCACGAGGTAATCATAATATACAATTTCTCAAGAATGCTTTCTGATCTTGTGTCTTCGAACTTCATTCTTCTTGCATTATTCTATTTATGCGTTACCTATCATCTTCTTTCAACAGATGTGCTACTAAAGTATGTATTTCTCTATTTTGATGTTTTAGGATGAAAAAATTTCAGAAAAAAAAACAGCCTTGTTGAATAATATTTCTTTTAGTAAATATAACTAAGTACTTCTGAAGGATCTTCTTGATCAAATCGATTTAACATAACGATTTTTGTTATTCTCTATTGAATAATCATATCCCAAAAATCTTCACATGTAGTTTTTAATGGACTTTCACAAGCAATATATTGCTTAAGACTATTTACACCCTATAAAAATACTCATTGTTTATGCGATTTGTTCTTTTTTTTGTAATGATATTACTCGAATTTCATTTGCATTAATATAATCATGTTTAAGATGATTACCAGCTAGCTGAACGGCAGTTTCCTTCCCTTTTAATTTATGCATGTTTACAATGTTCAAAAAAAAAAAAATAATGATCAACATACATGGACCTTGACTTGAAATATCATTATATCGATCCAAGGATGGAAAGGGTGTGGGTGTGGGTGTGTGGGTGGGGTGTGGGCGTGGGTGTGGGTGTGGGTGTGGGTGTGGGTGTGGGTGTGGGTGTGTGGGTGTGGGTGTGGCACAGTGGGGAGCCAGGCGGACATATGCGAAAATTTTCTTTCCCAGAATCTAACCGTTTGCGTAGACACATGCATATCTGATCTATCATTTCCTAAAATAGCGGTTCTCCAAGTTTTATAGAGCCCAAGAAAAGAGCCAGCCAAGGCTTGGGCCCAGAAATCAGCATAAATAAAGAAAGTCAAACCGCTCGGCAATATAACACAATATTCCACGAGCAAACAATATCGCAAAAAACTTGTTCACCTATGGACTTTATGATAAAAAAAAATTCTTGTAATCTAATTTAAAATAGAGTAGAAAACCAGGAGCCTCTATGCCGAAAACCTACCCGAAAACCTACCGTTCCGTATATTAAAAACCCTACAAAGGGGTAATGTCCGATCGAGCTGAAATTTTTACCAGATACTCCTGCCTATGTATCCTAATTATGATAGTAGCGTGAACTCGTGAAACTTTTCCTAGGCTATTCTACAGGATTCCCAAAAACTCATGCTTTTTGGTCGAAAATCCGATTTTATGCTTCCATATTACGTTTTAAAGAAAAACTAAGGTGATATTTGGAATCAGCTCGTCGAGCTGCATCAGACCATATATATATAATAGTTTTAAAAAAAGATTTGATCCATTTTCAAAGCAGATCCAGGCCCGAAAAACCTGCCGTTCCGTATAATAAAAACCCTACAAAGGGGTAACGTCCGATCGAGCTGAAATTTTTACCAGATACTCCTGCCTATGTATCCTAATTATGGTAGTAGCGTGAACTCGTGAAACTTTTTCTAGGCTATTTTACAGGATTCTCAAAAACCTACGGTTTTTAGTCGAATATCCGGCTTTAGGCTTCCATATTACGTTTTGAAGAAAAACTAAGATGATATTTGGAATCAGCTCGTCGAGCTGCATCAGACCATGTATAAAAAGAGCCATTTTTGTGGAAGCCATTTTTGGCAAAAATTTGGCCGAAACTAGCTGGTATGACCGGAAATTCAGTTTTAGGCATTTATATTACATTTTGAAGAAAAACTAAGGTGATATTCGGAATCAGCGCATCAAACTACATCGAATGATATGTAGCTTAACATATTTTTCAAAAAAAAAGATTTTTCGAAAAAAAAGGCTGAGGTCCCCCCGAGCCATATTTTTTGAAAAATTTTTTTTCTTAAAAAACCTATTATTTTCTTAAAAACGATTTTCGGAGCGATATACTGTCATTTATAGTCAAATGAAAGCCATTCCTAAGCAAAA